AGAGGGGTTTTGCCTTTGCTGTCCTCTGAGGCTAAGAGAATGCAACTTGACCCAGGTCACCCACAATCACCAAGCGGGGTCTAACCCTGGTCTTCCAGATTTGTAGTACAACCTTCAGTCCACCACATCACACTGACTTGAAAGTTTATTGCCATGTATTTATTAATTAATCTCAAATCCACCTTTATACAGCTTGGGTCTGTCTTTTCCAAAATGCTTGGGACCAGGCATGTTAGTGGTTTTGGAATACCTGCTTTTGGATATATGTGCATAATGAGATATCTTGGAGATGGGATCCAAGTCTAAACACAAAATTCTTTTACATTGCATATACACATGGACTGAAGGTAATTTTATACAATATTTTAAATAATTTTATGCATTAAACAAAGGTGACACTATTTCAGCCACCCATGGAAAAAGTTTTGATTTTTGGAGTATTTTGGATTTTGGAATTCCAGATAAAGAAGACTCAACCTGTACTTATAAAAAAAAAAATTGGTACTCCTAGCAACATTCAAATACAAACCAATACAATTAAAATGGAAATAGATTCCAAACCCATCAGTAAGAAAAGAAATTCCAGCACCCAGAGCACCATATAGTGTCATGTGCTGATTTCTAAAGGTCAAGTTGCTGCTCAAACTCCATGGTTCCTGGCTAGACTGGATTCTGTCCATGGACTCAGTCATCTTGGCTTCTAGTGACATTTTATATACGTTTTTCTGGCCTAGAAAAGATGGTTGGAACAGTGTTGTAAGGATCAAACACCACAAAATTGGCTTGGGGGCTACATGTGGTTCCAGGCCTGCACGTACTTTGCCCATCTCTGACCTAAGCATTAGTGGCTTAGCATTCAGAACTGCTATGCTGCAACCCAGAGATATGTATACACATTTCACTTTACTAAAGAGTTAGGAGAGAAATATATTGGTTTGCTTTACTTGCTACTTTAATGATCTATTTATTAATTTTAACACAAATGATCTAATTCACAAACATAACCATAAACATGCAGAAGGAATACACACACACACGAACAAGAAGACAAATGAAGAAAAATATATAGTCACATATAACTAAAACTAATACGTAATACTAAAACACTTAACACTGATAAGTTTATTGCACAGCATTTTCAGGAATGGGAATTGAACAGAACGGAACGGCATGAAATGGGCGCCACCGATGCTGCTGGGAGTCCCCAAGCCGTTCCCCAGCTGTGCTATGGCAGCTGGTTTTTAAGAACAATCTTGAACCAATCTTCAAAATCAGCTGCTAGGAACAGCTGGGGGACAGCTTGGGGACTCCCAGCGGCATCAGCGGCATTCCCATGTGTGGTAACTTGCGTTCTCACCCTGTTCCATGCCATTCCATTCTGTTCAGTTCCTGTTCCTGAAAG